TTTGAGCCCCCGGGTCCGGGGCGCGAACCACGGTCGACTATGTGGGAGTCCTGCGACATAGCCATTATGCTAACTGCTGGTTCCCCCAAAAAAATTAAATTAAAAAAAAATTTTAGAGGTTTTTGTCTTAGGATGCATGTGCTGACCTGACAGAGAGACAGAGACAGTGAGAAGGAAAATGAGAATTCATCCCCAGGGGGATGGCCATGCTACAATCCCTTTCCTTCCATTCTCTGCCCAGAATTTTGGACGTGCATGCACACATGCCCAGTGTGAATTTAAACCACTGGGTCCAGGATTTACCATGTGGAAGTTTAGCTATGTAATTGCCATGCCATCTGCTGGTCCCAAACAAAGAAATTCTTGCTGAATAATCATAGTCAAAACATCGGGGATGGGGGGGCAGCAGGTGGCATAGTGGTTGAGGTGCTGTCATAGTCAAAACATCGGGGGTGGGGGGTAGCAGGTGGCATAGTGGTTCAGGTGCTGGACTTCCACATGGCTAACCATTGTTCGAGTCCTGGACATAGCGACTTGCCTTTTCACTTTCTCTTTCTCTCTCTCTCTGTGTCTCTCTAGCCAGCAGATGTGAAATAAAATAAAACAAAATGATTCAAAAACAAAACAAAACAAAAATTTTATAAGTGTTCAGACAGTTTCACAGTGGTAAAACACGATGATCTGCCATTATGACTTGCATGGGAAGGTTTCACATTCAATCCAGGGACCTCCCGGAGTCTTCCCTGAGTACACCATGTGGCCATTATTTGAGACAGGCTGAAGTTGGTGGTAAATCATGCCTGGCAGCGAGGTCTTTCTCTCTCTCTGCCCCCGCTCTCACTGCCTCCTCTCTCTTTCTCGCTCACTCATAAATAAAATAAACTTTTTTAAAATTTATGTTTTAATTTAAATGATGTATATGTATATGTGTGTGTGTGTTCTATATAAGAGTAGATTAACAATATTTCACAAGTAAATTATTCAACAAAGTATAAAGATTGATATTTAGATCCAACAAGAAATGCCTTTTAATATTTAGAATCCAAATATCTACAAGAACATTTATTCAAATAAGGTAAAACTAAAAGTTTATAGGGTCAAAAAGAGTTATAACGCACAACTCAGAAATTAATGGAATAATTTGGCTGTTTTAAAAGAGATTAGATTTATTTTCAAAACAGTTTTAAAAACTCAGCCTGCAGTCCATACAAAAATATTATAAACATGTTGATAATTTATCATTTACTTAGATGTCAGTATATTATGTAAAATACTTACATTATTGGTTTGAATAAATACATTTTATGTCAGAAACAGAAAGCTTTTTTCACAAGACAATTAAGAAGTTGGTCAATCTTTACTAAGCAGCAGCACAACAGAATATATATATGATGATACACATTAGAGATCTATCTTTCAGTGGTAACAGAAATACTCTTCTCATCTTTATGTCTTATCAGTTATTATTACTTCTCTGTTTTGTAGTTGAGACTAAGAGATACATTTTTTTAAAAAAAGCCTAAAAATTACTAAAGTCAGAATGAGTTCTCTGATTTTCAAATACAGATACTGAAATGTTAGGATATAAAAACCTTATTTTTATTGTATTTATTATTATTCCCTCCTAGGAGTATTTTTAACCTTTTTAATTGACATATTGTTGTACATATTTATGGAGTACAGTGTGACTTTTCAATATATACATTCCGTGTGTAGTAGTCAAATGGAGGGAATAAGCATATCCATCTTCTCTAACATTTATCACTTTGGATTATGAACATTTACAGTCCTTCCTTGTAGCTATTTTGAATTATACCTTAAATTGTTTTTAACTCTAGTTCTTCTACTATGCTTTGGTACTCTAGAAATCTGTTTGTTTAGATGGTCTTGCTATGTCTCAATCCTCCCACTTCAGCCTCCTGGGTAGCTGGGACTACAAACATGCACCCGTAGGATAACCTCTTTAGGGAGACAAGAATCAAATCTGGGCCTCCCTTCTGGGCTCAACTTACTGTCAACTAGGAGGTGCTATCAACCAGGTCACATTTTTCTCATATAACTGAAAGTATGTATCTGTTAACCAGATTTTCCTTACCTTCTCTTCCCTCTCCCCCATCCTTTTCCATTTCTGGTATTTCCCATTCTACTCTCCACTTGTAGTCAATCACATACTTTCTCTTCCATTAATAAGTGAAATCTTGAAGTATTTATCTTTCACTGTCTGGCTTATTTCACTGCATAATTTCAAAAAGTGGAGGAGGGTTGAAGCAGGAGGATCATCAGTTTAAGGCCAGCCTGGGCAACATAGCAAGATTTTAAGTATAAGTTAATTAATTAATTAATTAATTAATTAATTTTGCATGAGTAAAGTGGTGACTTAATCTTTGTCCTTGATGCTTTCCTTTCATTTTTGTTCATAGCTGGGTATTAAATTAGCACATACTCCATTTTTCCCCCATATATAAATAAGGATGACTTTTCAGGGACCAGAAGGAGGATCCTCTTTGAAGGGAAAGGGACTGCAGAATGGCTTATTCCCTCTGTTGCACAAATATCTCAAAATAGCACCTTTCTCTGAGGCCACCTTTGTGTTCAGTTCTGTGGAAATTCTATTTCCTCCCTCTTTTCTAGCCCAGGTTCCATTTCTTTGCTTCCAAGTGGTATACTCAGCTTGAGAAGTTGTATTTAGTATTGTGGCACATTCTTTCATCTGTTTACTCTAGACCTTTTCCTCACCATTGTAGCTTTCTTTCTCTCTTATTCAAGTGATCCTTATTTGTTTAATGTGATTTTCTTTAAACTGGAGCTATATCCTTTTGGAAGAGCCCTGTGTTGTGTACATTGTTGTCGTGTGCATACACGCCCCAAACCCTGACTGGTTGAAGAAAGGGGGGAAAAAGAATTGTAATGTAATTATATCCCTTTAGGAGGATGTTTTCTACCTCTTTCTGTAAAGCACACACACCCTCTAGCAATAAAAAATAAAAATATAAACTTGGTCACAGCTATTGTGTGTCTTTAATTTTTGAAATTTAAAGATACTCAAAATTATTATTCCTTTGAAATGTCTTAGGTGATATCTCTAATCTCAGATAGCATAATCCCTAATTATTACATGGTATGTGTATGTATGTGTGTGTGTGTGTGTGTGTGTGTGTGTGTGTGTGTATTTATTTATTTATTTGTTTTTGAGACTTACTTGAAAACAGATGTTACTGGTCTATCAGGACAAAATGATCTAATCCAAAATCTTTCTGTTAAGTTTGAGAGATGTCATTTCTGGCAACTTGTGGCCTAGATAATTGCAATACAGGGGCAGCCTGATGTTTTCAGTCATAGAGTATAGCCAGGATATCCCTAATGGCAGGTACTCGATTTCAGGTCCAGGTCTAGAAAGAAATTGAAAGATTTCAAAGAATTAGCCTGGTACACTCAAATGTTAGCAATAACAATAAATTCCTAAGGTACTTAGCTTTCTGGAAGATTTCTCCCCAGTCATAGCTTAGGTCCCAATAACATCTTGTGCAGCCTTCTGCGAATCTCTTTAGTCTTGATGGAATAGATAATTGGGTTGAGCATTGGAGGGACAAAGAGATAGACCATGGACATAAACTTATGCACATACTCTGGGGCGTCCTTCCCAAACCGATGGACCATGGACACACTAACCATAGGCACATAGAAGATGAGGACAGCACAGATATGTGATACACACGTGTTGAGTGTCTTAAGCCTCTCCTCCTGGGAAGCAATGGCTAGCACAGAGCGTAGAATGAGCACATAGGAGAGCAGGATGAGCACTGAATCTACACCAAAGGCAGAGATGACAATGAACAGGCCGTACATGCTGTTGATGGTGGTGTCTTCACAGGGCAGTCGGATCAGATCTGGGTGCAGGCAGTAGGCATGAGTCAGCACATTGGCCTTACAGAAGGACAGCCTTTTCAGC